AGATTTCCGCCGCCGAAGGAGGCGGCACGGGCCGCATTTTGGGGAGGGCACCTCCCCCGATCCATGGATTTGGCGACCGCGCGCCAAATCCATGGATCGCTGATCCACGCTTGCGCGCCCCCGACTGTCTGGCGCGTAGTCCGGAGCGCGAGAAGGCAGCGGCGGCCATGCTGCTTGGAGGGGTGCCCAGCGATGTCCATCCGACGTGAGGAGAGAGGCCGCCCCTCGCCCTGGTAGCTGTCGCACGGGACGGCTGAAAGAAGCAGGTCTGCACCACCTGGGCAGCACGAGACTTGTAAGCGTCACTGACTGTCCTCCCGCGTCCTTGCCGCCGTCGCTGCTGCCGTCCTGCGCAGCGCCAGAGCGGCTCCAGCTGGGGAGAGGGGGTTGGCACTGCCAGGGGAAGCCAGCGCGGCCACCCGGACACAAGTTCGCAGGGGAGGGGCATACGGTTGAACGAAACAAGTTTGCACCACCTGGGCGGCACGGCAAACGATGATACGACCCCCCCCCCGCCCCCGACCTTAACATCGAGAACGGACGCGCACGCCGAAACGGGATGCATCTCTACTCTTGTCGAAGGGTCCCGGGAGATGTCGCAGCTGCCAAGATCGAAGTCGGGGTGTCGCGGGGGGAGCAGCAGCGCCATCCGATTCGCAGGTCCACCCGAGATGGTGCAGACAGTTCCTCTCTCTTTCCACGGGATTTTTGGTTGCGGCAACGGGCTTCGGGCCTACCTGAAGCGGGCCTGCGGGAAACACCGATCCTGTTGGAACAGAGCCGCCCTGCGTCAGTGCAGCGCCGCGCGCGTGGAGATTCTGGCCTCTGAAGGTAAGGCGGCGCCCCCAGCGATAGAGCTGCTTCTCGGGAGCAGAAGCGAATGAGCTCGGAGATTGGTAGACCTCCTGCCCTGACACGTCGATTGGTGAATTGGCCGTTTGTGGTTCGCGAGAGGGCGTCGCGGCCGTCATTTTTGCGGGTCCAGGCCCATCGGTTTTGGTCCTAGGCCATTTTCACTAAAGGGTGGTTTACTAAAGGGAGGTTTGTCCACCGCCGATGAGCATTCCATCTGCCGAAGCGTTGCGCTAATAGCAAGCGCGCGCTGCATGGAGGCGAGAGCCTCGTTTTGACGAACGCTGCGCGCGCCGCACGATTTGTGAAAGTCGCTTCTGGTTCTGAATCATCAGTCGTTCTACATATGATGCCGTACCATCCCAGCCAGGCCAGCATCTGCCCAACCCCTTCCATCCTTGTGAAGTAACATCATTCGCGCGCACTCATTTATACCAAAATTTCAGTTTACAAGAGCCCCATAGCAAACGCAAACATTAAACTTCGGACGCGCTTGCGCACATGACGAAATCAGACCAAGCACATTACTTTTGCAGTCATTTAAAGAACAGCAAGCAAGCATGTATTTCCCATATTGAACATGGCAGAATTTCTGCCCTCTCGCTCTTGCTGAAATCACATGGGATCCAATATCGCCTGGAGCCAGCATTGATATCTCACCACGCGGTGATTTGCGTCGGCTTAGCATGCGCCAAGTGCCCAAATTCGTATCAAATCCTACCATGTGGGCCGCACGCGCGTGCCGCTTTTTTCCTGAAGCCATCAGTGTTCCAAACATTTCGAGAGAATGTGTTTCAAACCATAGTATTAAAAAAGGCCACCAGTCTTGCAGCAAACTGTCTGCCAATTGCTCTGAATTTCTGCACGGGAGTACTTCCCCATCATCACCCTCATCAGCGCCATTGCATCACCGCCGTGTTCGTCACCGTAAATAGCCGCCACTGCCACCATTGCCACCACCATCAACACAGTCACCCTCATCACCGTCACATGAACATCATCATCGTCACCGTCGTCACCAGCATCGGCGCCGTCATTGGCCTTGCCGTCGTCATCGGCATCATCGCCACTACCATCGCTACTATTGTCATGGTTGCCGTCGATGTCGACGTCATCATGATACCGCGCCCGCTCGAGTCACCGACCCGCACTGGCGTGCCCATGCGCCAGCGCGGCTTTTGAAGGGCGCTGGCACGTTCCCATCGGGGAGCGCCATCGCAGCCGCATTAGCTATTCCAGAACTAACGGGTCGCCCTGCGCGCGAGTATACGCGCGCCAGCGCGTCCGCAGAGATGCGCTAGTAAGTGCCAATCGGCAGCCGCAGTTGCGGCCTCATGGGTTTAGCCAAACAAGTTGCGAGCAGTAGAGATGACAGGTCACGAGCTGGCAACAAAATTAATTCTCCCTTTTAAAGGAGTTATAGACTCTACCCCCCCCGGCGTTATCACTCCCCCCGCGTCCTATGTAAATCACATATGATTCTGACCACATGTCCATCCTAAATATGATATCACAATGTCCCAGGCCAACCGGGTCCCCCCCCCTGGTGTTCCTTTGCAAAACACTATGCGGTGACATTTTTAACACTTTTTCGCGAATCCCTTGTACATAATACTATAAGGCGCACATGCGCGTGGCCGCCGTGCGCGCATGTCGAAATCCTTCTAAACACACTGTGATTTCAATCATTTCAGGATCGGACTTCAACAATTCATTGTAAAAGATACGACTTTCTCACCCAAAAACTTTGGAAATTCTGCCCGCGCGCTCTTGCAGAATCTTTCAAAAACCAATGGTTTTTCTACATTCCTGTCAAATGGACCTTCACGGGCCACTTTCGCTCGCACGTCGAACTAACTCAACAACCTCCGCGCGCTTGCCAGACGCGCCATCCCTTGTAAATAATACCATAAAGGCGCACATGCGCGCGGCCTCCGCGCGCGCATGCCGACCCTCACTCCACACGCCTCAGCCACCCAGCTTCCGCCGCTGCTGCCACCGACTTCCCTCTCGCCTTCTTCTCCCCGTCTATCTACTTTCACATGTAACGCTGTCGGTGCGCTGGTTGGTAGGTTGATCCGAGTTGGCTGGCTGGCTGGTTGGTTGGACGTGCGGGGCATACGCGCGCGGCCGCCGCGCGCGGGTGTCGAAATCCTTCCGAACAAGTTGTGTGTTCAACAGTTTCAAGATCAAGTGCCAGAGGCACAAACCCTGCCAAATAATACCATGCGGGGCACATGCGCGCGGCCGCGCGCATCGTCGTCATCGTCGTCGTCGTCATCTTCCCCGTTGTCGTCGTCGTCGTCGTCCCCCTCGTCGTCGTCGTCGTAGCCGTCGTTGTAGTCGTCGTCGCCGTCGTTGTCGTCGATGGGTAGTCGCAGTCACGGCTTGAAGAGGTCTTGCGACCAAGTTGCAGGTGGGTGGGTGGGATGTTTGCACGAGCAGTGGAGTGGCCAACTCAATTAAAGATAAATCAATTCCCCTTTCTAAAAGAGATATAGACTCTACCCCCCCCGGCGTTATCACTCCCCCCACGTCCTATGTAAATGAAGTATGATTATGACCACATGTCCATCCTAAATATGAAATCACAATGTCCCAGGCCAACCGGGTTCCCCCCCCCTGAGGTTCTTTTGTAAAAAACACTATGCGGTGACATTTTTTGTTCTAGCATAACACTCTTTCGCGAATCCCTTGTAGAAAATGGGACGAAGTGCGCACGCGCGCGCCGTCGCGCGCGCATGCCGAAATCCTTCAAAAACCTTCGGTGCCGGAGTGATTTCGCAATCGAGTTTCCAAAAAGCATTCAAAAACACAGGGTTTCGCAACATTGATTTGCTAAAAAAGCTTCCGCGTGAGCTCTTGCGAAATCTTAAGAAAACCATTGGTTTTCCAAGATGTTCACAAAATGCTACCAAACGGGCTTCGCGCGCTCGCATGTCGAAATCAGTCGAACGCCTTTGCGCGTGTGCCGTCGCGAGAATCCTCTGCCAAAAATGTGACGAAGTGCAGACGCGCGCGTCGTCGCGCGCGTATGCCAAAAACCTTCAAAACCCATCGGTTTCGGAAGGATTTCAAAATCGTGTGTCCAAAAAACCTACAACAACACAAGAAGTCGCAACACGGATTTTCAACAAAAGCGTGCGCGCGCGCTCTTGCGTCGTCGTCGTCGTCGTCGTCGTCGTCGCCGTCCTCCCTCCTCCCGCGTCGTCGTCGTCGTCGTCGCCTACGTCGTCCTCTGTCTTTCCTCGTGTTCATCGTCGTCGTCCTCTTTGGCGTCGTGGTCGTTTCCGTCGTCGTTGTCGCCGTGGTCGTCCCTCCTCCTCCTCCCTCGTCGTCGTCGTCGTCGTCCGTTGTCGGCGTCTCGTCGTCGTCCCTCCTATTTCGTCGTCGTCGTCGTTGTCGTCGTCGTCGTCTCCCCTCCTCTCTCGTCGTTGTCGTCGTCGGCGTCGCCGTCCTTCCTCCTTCTTCGTCTTCGCGTCGTCGCCGTCCTCCCTCCTTTCTCGTCGTTGTCGTCGTTGTCGCCGTCGTCGTCCTCCCTCCTCCCTCGTCGTCGTCTTCGTTGGCGACGTCGTCGTCGTCTTCGTCGTCGTCGGCGTCGGCGTCGTCGTCGTCGAAGTCGTCGGAGACGTCGTCGGCGTCGTCGTAGTCGTTGTCGTCTTAGTCGGTCTTAAGGGGTTTTGCAAACCAAGTTGCGGGTGGGTGGGTGGGATGTTTGCAAGAGCGTGGGATGTGTCAACTCATGGGTAAAAATCAGCTTGCACCCCATAGGTTGCACCACGCGTATTGCACCACATGGGTTGAGGCACGTCGATTGCACCTCGTAGCTTGCACCACATAGCTTGCGCCGCATACGTATACCGCATTACACTTGTTGGACCACGAGCTTGCGCACGTCAAGAGTGCAAACACTCGCTGTCTGGGACCCGTGCTGGAAGGCCTGGGTGGCCCTCGGAGGCCCTTGAGCCTCTGAGCGAAGAACGGGACCAGTAGCGTCAGTGGCGGCCCTGGGCGCAGGGAGCCCGAAGAAGCGCCGGCGACTCCGCGCGCGAAAGGCCGACCCGACGCGCCGCTCGGCGGAGGGGCTCGCCGTGGCCGCTCTGCGCGCCTCTGCCGCCGCCGGGCCGGAGCGGCCGGCTCGCGCCCAGGCGATGAAGCGCCGCCTCTCGTGGAGCGTCAGCCCGCAGGCGGCGGCCTCGGATCGGGGCCACGTCGGCGACGGCCGGGCCCGCACCGCTGGCCGGTGTGGCCGGCGGCTGCCCCCCCGGGCTCCCGGCAGAGCCAGCAGCGCCTCACCGAGCGCTTTCCACTACTCGCGAGGTGCCTCCTCGCAAACGTCCGAACGACACGTACCTGCACCGTTGCGGTGACTCGTACATCCCCCACGGCGGATCCAGGCCGTGTGCGAGTAGCTGCTTCGCGAGTAGTGGAACGCGTTTGTCTAGCGCCAGCTGCCCACCCCACCGATCCTGGCCGGGCCCCTCCGGGGCCCCGAGCTGGGTGCGGACAGGATCGGTGGGGTGGTCGGTCGACTGGGAGGAGGAGGAGGAGGAGGAGGAGGAGGAGGAGGAGGCGGAGGCGGAGGCGGAGGCGGAGGCGGAGGAGGAGGAGGAGGAGGAGGAGGAGGAGGAGGAGGAGGAGGCCACATGCGAACCTTACCCCACCACCCCACGACTTCTAAGGGGGGAGGGTGGGGTTCACTTCGCTCGGGACCCCGCGGACGCAGTGAACCCCCACCTCCCCCCTGAGGAAGCCGTGGAGTGGTGGGGTAGGGCTTCGCGTGTGGCCTCCAGCAGTCGACGCCGCTTGCCACAGGGGTTCATGCGTCCTCCGCCGATGTCGGCCTGGAGGCCCCAGGCCCTGCAGCGCCTCCGCATTCTGGAGGTCTGCCCCCCCTCTGACTGTTCCTGCGCGCCTCCCCCCGCTTCCCCGGCTGCCTTTGTAGAAGACAAAAAAAACCACATGAACATATTTTGTTGGCGCTCCGCGCGGATTTCTTGGATCCGCGCCTGGGCCCCCCGGCGCCGCCTCCGGCGCCGCCCCTGGCGCGCTCCGCGCGCCAGGGAGGGGGCTCCGGCGCGGATCCAGGAAAGCCGCGCGGAGCGCCAACGGTTATGCTTATGTGGCTTTTTCTTCTTTCAGGAGGGTTCTTTCAGGAGGGAAAAACGCAGACACAATGAATCGTCGACTCCCAGGAAAATATGAGAAAATATGGGAAGTGGGGGCGGAAGACGAAAACACAGAAAATTTGGGAAAAGATGGGGAATCGTGTTATTCCTCTCGCTTCGCGGGGTGCACGTCCGGAGCACGTACAGTCCAGTCGTTTCGGAGTGTCCTGGGAGCTCTTGGGGGTCTTGTGGAGACCAGTCGTTGCCGGACTGCAGGGAATCTCTGGGGGGGCCTCTGGGCTGCGCCTTCTGGGCGTCTGTGGGGTTCTCTTGGGAGCTTCCTGGGGCCCTTCTTGCGCGTCTTGGGCTGTTTTGGGGCGCTCTGTGCCTCTGCTACCCCTCCCTCCCGCCTCCCGCCATCCCTCCTTTTCCTCCTCCCCTCCCCCTCCTCCCTTCCAGCGCTGGCTCTGATCACGGACGCCGCTGGGACCAACTTCCATCTGGCTGGCGCTGCGCCGCGGTTCGCCCAGGGCGGGATATTATTGTTTGGTGAGTCACCGAGGGTGTTTCAGAGCACGTTCAGTCCAGTCGTTGTGGGGCCTCCTGGGAGTCTCTTGGGAGCTTCTTGGAAGCTTCTTAGGGGCTTTTTGGAGACTCTGGGGGGCCTCTTTGGAGCCTCTTGGGGCGTCTTGGGGCCGTCTTGGGCCGTGTTTGGGCGCTCTTACGCCGTCTGGCCACTTCGGAGGCCACTGTGGAAGCCTCTCGCGGCCGCCTTGGGGCTCTCTCGCGGTCCTCGGGGGCCGTTTTGGGGGCTTTTTGGGCCGTCTTGGAGGTTTTTGTTGGCCGTCTCGGGGCCCTCTTGGGCCGTCTTGGGGCCCCCTTGGAGGCCTCTTGGGCCGTTTGGGGGCCTTCTTGGAGGCTGCTTGGGCCGTCATGGCCTTCTGAGAGATACAACACGTGGCAATTATGCAAACATTGGACACATAGGATCCATTGCATTGGGGCTTCCGCTCCGCTGAGCGACCTGCCTCCGGCAACACGTCACTTCCGGACGTGGATTCGATAGGCTTCCGCCACATCCGCCGACCCCCGTATTAATTATTGCCCTCCAGGACTGCATCTCACGAGGCTTGTCCGAATCATGACACGGCGCTCGACATCGTTCCTGTTGTTTCGTTTCTGTTATCGTACTTATTGGTGCTCTTTTGTGGCATTTTGGTGGCATCTTGGCCTGTCTGCAGGATATCCGGCCGCCTCGAGGCATCTTGGGCCAAGTTTGGGGGCCTCTTGGGGGCTTCCTGGGGGCTTCTTGGAGGCCTTTGAGGTTCTCTTGGGGGTCTCTCAGGGTGTTCTTGGGACAGGCTGGGGGCGTCTCGGGACCGAAGGCTCGAAAAGGTGTCCTTTGGACTCCGTCGTGGAGCCGTCTGGGGGTCCTCTTGGGCTGTCTTGGGGGCTTCGTGGGCTGTTGTTGGACCCTCTTCGACTCTTCTTGGGGGCCACTGTGGCCGTCTGGGGGCGATATTGAAGGTTTCTTTGGCCGTCTGGGACGTTGTGAAAACCGAGTAGGCGAGCATGCGACAAATGCTTACTTTTCGAAGGGACTGGGACGATTTCTGTTTCTTGGGACCCTCTTGGGGCGCATCTTGGGGGCCTTGTGGGGCGTCTTGGCAGCTTCGGAGGCCGCCTGGAGGCCATGGTGGGCGTCCAGGGGCGATGTTTCGGCGAATCGTGGCCCCCTGGGACCGTATGGGGAGCATGTTGGTGCCTTCTTGGCTAGTTTGGGAGCCCTCCGCTCCCCCGTGGCGCGTTCGGTCCGGGGTCGGGCTCGGCCAAGGGGGGGGGGTCAAATTGCCGGTTGGGGTCCTTGGGGGGGGGAAATGGGGGGGGGATAATCTCACACGCCTAGAGACCCACAAGGGGGCGGTGGATTTGTGTATACTTATTTGTGTGTCCCTGGGCCCCTTCGCTCTTCTATTCTTGGGCTGGGCCCCTCGGCTCGAGCAGGACGATGGCGGGTGCTCCTCCCCGCCTCTTCCGTTCCGCCGTCCTCCGCCCCCTCGCACCGCCTCCCTCCCCAGCACACCCCAGTGCGGTCAACGCGCCCAATAAGGACGCACGCCTTCATTGACGAAGGAACAGCGCACCCATACCCATCGGGGGGTCGTTGGGAGGAGGACTGGCTATGGGCGTGGGTGCGGGTTGTAGGACCCTGGGGAACGCTCCCGTTCGAGCTGGGACCCCCATCCGACAACACGCACCCATAGTCCTCTCCGACCCCCCCATGGGTATGGGTGTGTGTGTGTGTGTGCGTTGTTGGTTCGTCGTTCATCCAGGTTGCCCTCGTGTCCTTGCCTCTGCGGCCAGGTGTGTGCCGTTTGCACTGGTCGCCCGCCGCCCAAAAAGTCCCCACTTCGGCCTCCAAGGGTCTTGCGTCCTTACCACCCGTCCAGACACACGTTTCGACTGTAGCACTGCCGAGCCCCCGCTCCCTCTCCGGGCGGGGTGATATTGTGGGGACTCCTCGGGGGGCTGAGACCCCACCGCCCGGGAGCTGCCGTACGTGGAGCTCCCCTGCGCGGAGGAGGCCAGCTGTGCGGGTCCAGCTCGTTCTTGCCCCTCCCCCTCCTGTGGCGGAGGGGTCCGTCAAGACAACGGCGGCCCTCCCTGGCGTCTCCCGTCCTCTCTGGGCCTCCCTGGAGGCTTCTCGTCGCCACGGCCGGGTCAGGACGTCGGGTCAGGACATCGGGTCAGGGTGGGCGCCAGGGGGAGGGGGGGTCATGGGGACCGATGTCGGGCGGATGTGCGCAGGGCGGGACATCCGCCGTCGTCTTAATTGGCCCTCCTCCGACTCTCGCAACGGCAAGAAAACAGCAGCCAGAGGAGGAGGAGGAGGGGGGGGAGGGGCGGACCCGTGAACGGTCGGATTCCTATCCGCGTTCCTTTGCTTCTGGGGAGACCAGCGGAGTGCCCGCCACGCAGATGCAAACTCAAGACTCGGTACTCGTCGGTCGTTGCAAGTAGGTATTCTTGGAGTCCCAGGTCCCAGTCTACTTCAAGCGCCTTCCTACGTCAAGGATCGATATGCTTTTGCTGTGCTCTGTGACTCTCTGGGCGAGCCCGAACCCATCGACTCTATCCGCCTTCCTGCTTCCTATTTTTGCCTACATCTTCAGACCGACGTGTATTGTTTCGTTCATCTGATTGTTGACCTGCGTCATCTCGCGCATCATTCTGTCCAGGCTGCCCCGTAGGGACCATCGCTCCGCGGAGCGCAGGGACCTGCCACCAGGCAGGCGCCGCTGACTCGTGCTGCCGTGCGGTGCCAAGCGGCACAACCGCTACGCACCTCTCGTTAAGAGGGAGCCGAGGCCTCGCTGTCCCCCTGTGCTCTCTCTTTCTTCCTGCCTGGCGCCCCCCCGACACCTTCTCTTCTCCGCGCATCCCCGCCCGCTCCATTCCCCTTCGTCCCCTGCTGCCCCCCTCCTGCATCGTCGCTCCTCCCCCTCCGCTTCCTCCCTCCTCCTCCTCCTCCTCCTCCTCCTCCTCCTCCTCCTTCCTCCTCCCTTCTCCCTCCTCCCCCTCGTCCTCCCTCCTCCCTCCTCCCCGTCCTCCCTCCTTCCCGTCCTCCCTCCTTCCCCTCCTCCTCCTCCGCCTCCTCCTCCGCCTCCGCCTCCTCCTCCTCCTCCTCTTCCTCCTCCTCCTCCCCGAGAGCGCGGTGGCTCTGTTGGAGAACGCGGGGACAAGCAGCAGGCGCAGAAGTTCCGCGAGGAGCTCAAGCAGCGCCGTGCTCCAGGACCCTCAGCCCTCGAGAGAGCGCAAGACGCGGATCGTCGTCGTGGGAGGCTGCAGCAAAGGCTGGCCAAAAGAGGCCGATTTCACGGAAAACCCGGCGATCGGGCTCAGCTCCCAGAGGCCACAGGTCCAGTCGGCAGCCGAGGAATTGCAGGAAACAGAAGACGATTACAAGCGGTCATTGAGATGCACTGCCAAACCGAGCCAGTTCAGGTTGAGGCTCAAACCAAAGGGCCAGGTCACTTTCAGCGTGGCGACATTCTATGACATTCTTGCCTGATTGTCAG